TTATATTGAATGTCTTTGTTGCCTAAATTTCGTGTATAGATGCTTAGTAAACCCATCAGTTTTTTCTTAACCAATGTGTTTATTAAGAGGAGAGAAGGGGTGGGGTCATTGTGTGTTGTGTCTTTGTCTTTAAAGAAATATGAAACAATAAAATATTAGGGAGCAAATTAATGAAATGAAAAAAATACCCTCGTGTGGGCAACACATGAACGACTTAACATGATTGAAGTTGATACCTGTTACCTTGAAGGACCAAAACCAAAGAAAGGATCAAAAAATAGACAACTCATTTAAGTGTAAACCTTTTGGACAAAAATTGTACTTTTTTTGGACAACCATAAGGACCACTTTTGTAGTTTTCTTTTTAAAAAAATTTATGATAAAAAACATTGTAACAAGACAAAAACTTGATTTGGTTGAAAATGTTATAATCCTAAATTATATGATCCAAAAAAATAGAACAAGGAAAAAGTGAGAACGTCCAATGACAACATATGAGGATATAACCCTGACCAAGGAGAAAAATGAAACAATCCAAATTATCATTGATCTAATATGTTATGATCTAAAAGGTTATCTACCAAACGCTATATGAAAAAAAAGATTTTATTTGATTTGATAAAAATGTTATGATTCAAAATGTTTTTGATCCTTAACTTTAAGACTTGTGAATTACCGTTCAAAAGAAAATAGAAAAAAACTAGATTTAAAAGCATTAAAAAAAACAAAAATTAGTTTAATGATATTAAAAAAATCAAATATAACAAAACAGAAGAAGGAAAAAAACCGCACGAAATAATATATATATATATATATATATATATATATATATATATATATATATATATATATATATAATGTGGATGATAAGTATTGTGTGGATGTAGAGAAGAATGTGAACCAAGAGTTTAAAATACATATTCTGATTGAATGAACATTTTGAAAAATAACAAATTTTTGAATCATGAGTTGAAGAATAACAACATTCTTAAAGAATAATCATCTATTATTAATATTATTGAAGAATCTAAGGTCAAAAAATAAATAAAAAAACAATTTTTACTGTTACATTCTATAAAAATACAATGTCATTTTTTTGAATTTTTGTCAAGTTCTATAAGGATACAAGCTCCATAGTAAGTAAGTCTTGAAAAAAACTTCATTCTATAAGAATATTCTCCTTCTTCCTAGAAGGGGATTTATTTCCTTTGACTTTAGATCTTCAACTAACGAGTAAACAAAGACATGTATTAAAAAAACAGAAATAAGCATGAGAATACGATTATACAAATATGTCACACCCCCGAACCAGAACGACGAAAACGTCCGGAGGCGGGTGACTTCATTGTGTAGTATCATAACAATTGCATATAAATGAAACATAGCAAATCCAAACATCATACATTATAACAAGCTTACATTTGTTTTACATCGTGTTTATGTTCTCAAATATTACACAAAAGAGACATTAGTAAGCAAATTCCAAAAGATAGCAAAATAATCTTGAGTCCGCGATCCAACAACCTGCTTATTGGTTTCCTGAGAATACAAGTCGTTTGAAAAGCGTCAACATAAAATATGTTGGCGAGTTCATAAGCATTTTTGTATAAAACTTGATGATAGTTTAGAAATCCAGAAAATCCAATATTTTCTTATCAAAATCGTTGTAAGTCTTGTTTCAAATCGAGTATAATTGCATGTGTGTCTTAGTTCTTTGTTTTCAAAATCGTATAAAATCGTTTCCTCCAGAAAATCCTATATTTTCTGATGTATAAAATAGTAGCTTTTAAAATAATAACACTTGTGTGAAAAGTCTCGTTTGAGGTGATTCAAAACACAGTTGATTATAAACCAAAGGTGAAATCTGTATAAGTACACTTCTGATATATTCTAGTGAGTCGTTATAACCATACTAATATGACGGAGTGCCTGTTATGACGTTCTTCAAGCGTCGGTTTGTTCAAGACATTTGTCACCCTAGACTGGCCGGTCTAGCTGTAGCGAACAACGAAGGTGCGGGGTGTCAACCCCGTATAGATCTATACACAAATTCCCGTTCCCCCTCTAGGAGACTCTGGTTATAACTCTTACAGGACTTTTAGGCGTACACTATTGTATATAATATATGTACTGTGAAGATTTGTCTGACTAGAATACTAACAGTTTCGAGTAAATCATTGAGATCCATTATTTACTAAATAAATAATAATAGTTGTGCTCGTTGACTAAATATTCCGTCTCGTTTCGTTTGTTGAAAATAATCCGCTTTAAATGTTTATCAAATCGATTCAATAGTAGCAAAGTCGGATAAAATGGCTTTCCTCTCTATATATTACTAAGTGAGATCCAATTTACCGGAAAATGTCAAGTTATGATTTGTGTAAAACTATGCCATGTGTGAAGTTATGACAGCAGCTTTATGACATGCAAAATTTTCTGTCATAAAGTTTCTATTTGCATATAATTCTTGGTGAACTTACTTATATCAAATTTTTTATAAATAACACCTTTACAGTTTGCAAATAGTCATTTATGGAACACAAAGTTCCAATTTCGAATTCTAGACTTAGTGTCAACATTTCAAGGTCTATTTCAACAACTTTTATTTCTAGTTATGAAAAGCATGGATACAAGGGTGCATGTTGAACACTCCCCAAAACTTGGGAGGCTCCTTTTGTAAATTGTATTGTTCATGTAGTGATTAAAATATTATTTGTTTTCATGGGTTCTGTGAAACCTCACGTTCACATGGAGTTGCAAAAAAAAAAATATATATAATAATATTTCAACACACATAGCAAACACACATATACATGCAATCACTCAAGAATTTAGAACAATAGATGACTTGTACTCTCCCCCAAAATCAATAAAAGCTTAGGAAAAAGATGGGGTATGAAGCTCACCTGGGTTTAGTTTGCTGGAGATTTGAAGAGATGATGAGGAGCTTCCAAGTTTCCAACACTTTAAAGGTTCTTGGGACTTTAGAATGATTCTAAGCATAAGTTTATGTGTAAGCATGGTGAAATCTTAGGAATGGTGAGGAAAAATCACTATTCAAAGAGGATGAACACTTACCAAAGATTCTGGGAATTTTCCTTGAAGGAATAAAGCTTGAGTCTTGAAGGAGTTTGAGGGAATTATTGGGAGTTTACTGGTGAGGAAGTGAGAAGTGGGATAAGGGAGGAAAATAGATTCACGTATCTGAAGGGGAGGATAAGGGAGTGACTTGACACTTGCATGGAAAACTGGTGGATAAAGCTTCCTTTCTTATGGATAATGTGTGTTTATTTGGGATTTGCATGGGAAATGAGGAATTAGCATCACATCATAAAGTCAAACCCCTTTATTTGCTTAGAATCTCCTTAAAAATCTTGGGTTCTATTTTATATGAATATTTTAAAATAATTGATTTTGGCATAAAATAGTGATTTAAGGGGTCTAAGATAGGAAAAATATGAGTTTGGTGTGATTTCCGGCGTCAAAATGCCTTAAAATGATTAAAAAAAAATCCGAAAATGGCAAAAATCCGGAGTGGGGGCTGGTTTCTGCGAGGGTCCGAAGGCTTAAGAGGGATTCCGGAGCCACTAAGCAAATTCCGGAGCATCTTCTCGGATTTCCGGAGCATACAGAGGAGTTCCGGAGCTAAATCTCGCAATTCCGGAGTCACAGGCGAAGTTCCGAAGTCAGGAGGCGGCGTCAATGGTCCAGACCGAGCAGGTGCGAAGCGACTCAAAATTCCGGAGCGGGTCTAGACGTTTCCGAATCAGTCTTAAGCGAGATCTTCTGGAGTCATGCGAGAAGGTCCGAAGCACAAGGGTTCCGAAAATGCACTCCTCTTGGTTCCTTAGAAGGTATTCCGGACTAAGAGGTTCCGGACCAGGAGGGTTCCAGACCAAGAGGGTTCCGACCAAGCGGGTTCCGGACCAAGAGGGTCCTTTTGGGTTTTCTCCTCCGGTTTTGGGCTGTTTTCGACTGAGAAAGGTACATAGAGAGATTTGGGAGAGATTTCACATACTTGGAGATATTTGGGAGAGATTTCATATTCTTGGAGAGATTTCACATACTTGGAGAGATTTGGGAGAGATTTGATATTCTTGGAGAGATTTGGGAGAGACTTCATATTTTTTGGAGAGATCGAGAGAGACTTTGTCGGGGGCCTTTATTAATGTTTTTCTTCGTAGTTCAAAGGTCGTAGACTTAGTTACATCCCATTTCGAGTGTTATATACCCCCGAAGGGCACTTACTAATGTTTTATAGAGCTATTACTTCCTCCTAAGATTAGGGTTTTAAATTCTGAACCTTTGAAACCTTCAAGTGCTACTTTGCATTAAGATTTATAGTTATACATTAGCAAACATAAGTAAACCCTAACAAATAAACACTAGATGAGTTGACCAGATGACCCGTTGACCTTGACTTGACTTTGACTTGACCAGAAACTTGCCGGTTGTCACAAAATAACAAGAAAACATGTGGTTTAGAAATTAAGTTTTATGGCCGAATTAAGAAAAACTTGACAGCTTCAAACTTTACAATTACTAAAAGCTATGTAGGTTATGACCTTTTTAGAAAACAACATCACTATATTTTCAAGAATTCATGTGGTTCATTCATTGTCTTCTAACACACTTAGAAACACCATTATGTATATATACAGACAAACAAATCCACATAAATACATCAATTCTGTAGAAATTGCTATGCATAAGAATTAGGTGTACACATCTAAGAATCGACTCAACTGGTACATTTAAGAAAAAATGAAGGACACCAAAACTTAGAATTATGTAAAGATGTGGACGAAGGATAATAAAAAGAAAACCTGCTATCAATTGGAGCAACACTCCTCTTCATCTTCGTGTGTTGTCCAGTACGACCGTAGGAGGGCTTTCCGATTAGTTAAGAGGTTGCAGGTACACAGTGGTCAGGAGGGCAGCAACCTCCTTCGCATCTCCCCAGATCGTGTGTTGTTGCTGCTTGCCTTGACCCTCTCGGATCAGCCTTCTCCCTTCTCTTCACATTTGATTGCCGGAGCAGACCCTGCGCTGCTTTTCCCCTTCGACCTCGCCGACCCCGGAGACGACGGACTCCCCTCTTCCCTATGTCTCTTCAACCTCTTCGAACCCCGGAGATGATCTCGATTGGTCACGCCATCCGGAATAGCGGACAACACACCTGAGAACTTCGTTCCGACGATCTTGACATCTTCGATGGAA